ATGCCGAATACAACTTCTCACATCCACCTCATGGTATGCTCGTGCCTCAAATACTTAGTTGATTCATTTTAAGCTTCGTACTAATTGTGCAAAACATTACAGGCAAATATTACTTGGTGGATGTTGGATATCTATTACAGTGAGGTTATCTTAGGCCCTTTCCTGACATGAGATATCACATACCAGATTTTAATCGAATCAGCAATGTCACACATGGCAGAAAGAAGTTGTTTAATAAAAGACATTCCACCTTACACGGTGTCAAAGAGAAGACTTTCGATATTTGGAAGAAGAAATAGTTTATACTCTGTGATATGTCATCTTACCCATTTCCCAAACAAATTGTCATTGTCACGATAACTCTGCACAATTGTATTCAGTGGCATCCTTCCCGCAACGACATTGACTTTCGCAAGGCCAACGAGGATCAGGAGCATGTACCTTCAGAAGCATTTGAGCACCACCTCGTGTATTCCCTGTCCCGATTTAAGAATGATCCTTCCCTTATATTTACAACAAAAGGGGAAGGTGCCAGCGAAATGGTAGAGCTAAGAGAGCAAATCACTGATGTGTTGGTATGAGGTTGATTGGACTATTTGTAATTTATTCAGTTATATGTGAAATTCATTTTATTTGTCAGAATATTGTTAACATTCATAATGGATATTGAGCATTCAAAGTTCCTTTATTCAAAGGCATTTGTACTTTATATTTTATATTGTTGCTTCAATTATTTCTTTTAGAAAAGTCAATTCATTGTCTTTTGCAGCATTCAAGAAAGATGATTTCAAGGATTTCAGGGACATCCCGACGATTGCTGTCACTGCGGACTATAAACTTCCTTACTGACATCACGTCGGGCTCATAGCTCCGGTAAACAGTTCTACAGCTGCTTGCGAATCATCGCAGAGCAGTGCAGTTTCTTCCGGTGCGTAGACAGTCAAGCAGATTCCACTACTGACGGTGATCGGGGATGGATGTCATCACTGGAGGGCAATGTAGCAATGGCCATACACCGTATGCATGTTAAGAACAATATAATCATTATATTAATTGTAATTTTAATAGTTTTTTACTTTTTTGACACTCTTGGTACTCGCTATTAAGTGAGTCGAGTATCTAAATATTTGTATTTTTCTGTAGTGAATTTATATTTCTGAAGTATCAAATATATGATAATGACAGTTATGATATAAATAGTATTACTTAATAGGAGTAGAATGGTCATTTGTCGAAAAACAGCTGTCAGAAAACTATTTTCAAGCAGCTAAAATAAACAGGCAGCCAACTTCCCAGCAACAGCTTCCCAGCAACAGCTTCCTGGGCAGCTAAGCTGCAGCTGATAAGCTGCAACTGCCCCAAATAAACCCTAAGAGGCAATGTGTGGGTGGTGATCGGTGGTAATGGGCAAGCAAGGATGACCGCCAGCAATGGCTAAGCAACGATGAAGGCAAGCAAAGTGCGGCTAGCAATGGTGGCAATGCAGGAAGGTGACAATGGTGGGCCATGAGCGAGCAACGACTAAGCAAGCAACAAAGGAGGCTTAGCTAGTGGTGGCAATGTTACACGAAGCAAAGCTAAAGGCAGCAAACAAATTACAGATATTATGTAAGAAAACTCATAATAGGGCTAATTTGCTTAATCTCCAAGCAAACAAACAAAAAAGAATGGGTGATATAAAATTCAAGAGGTAAATTGACTCTCCACAAACCCTAGACCCCGCAAGAAACTAGAAGACGAGAAAATTGCAGGAATTCAAACATAAAAAACAAACCCTATGTGATTCACTCTAATAAAACACCACCAAAATAAATTCAAACATTCCCCTCGAAACACATTCAAACATTTCCCCCAATTCCTCTCCCCGCATACTTGATTATGAGCTTAACAGGCCGCACCCGGGAGCTAAGATCACCTCCGATGGGACTTTGGGATTCCACACCCTAGGCTGGGCCAGCATAACGCAATGTTTGGTGGTAAATGTCACAGGCCGCAAGTTTTTACTGCATTTTGAAATCACCAATTGGCTAGCTCCAATTTCATCAAAATAGACGTTCGTATTTGACTTATTTCAAAACAAACACCAACAAAATAAAAACCCTTTAATTTCATTATTTTACTCAGGTGATACATGCAATTGAACAAACCATTTGAAATATTTCAAGAAAAAGAAGAAATTGTGGCTAGAATGCACTTAAGATGACTTGAATTGTAATTGATGAAGCATGCTTGAAAATAACTTCAATGAAAATAACTTTGATGAAATTATGCTTTACAAGATATTTTCTTTTTTCTAGAAATAAGAAAAAGCTCAAGCGTATGAAGAAAAAGCACACAAAATATGGAAACTCACAAAAACACAGTACGGTAAAGATGTTGCATAGAAATAAAGAAACTACATAGTCAAATCTATTTAAACTGTTTTCATAATGTAGTAAATCACCTTTGCCAATAGCTGAGTCTGAATTAGATTAATGCACCTATGATATACAGGTTCAGCAAACTGGGCAAAACCTGGTCCTAGAGCCTTAAAAATACGAGAGTAAGAATTAAAATCCAAGTTAGCTATAAGAAGGACAATAAACATAGGAATTCATCAAAAAACTGAAAGAGCTAGAAGAGTGTTTAAAAAAAGTGGGGGGATATACACTGAAGGAATGTTTTCATAAAATAAGTAGGAATCCATTTTGTGACATGCTAAGCACCTCAAGCTTAAAAAATGTCACGCTCAAACCTTCACCAACAACAGTGCAAAACCCTCCCAACCAACACATACGCACACACACACATCATCACCCTCACAACATTCAGTAGCACAATTTTTTACCTTTTTAAATCAATGAAAATAACGAAGGTAATGCATTAAGAGATCAGAACTGTTGAATAAAGAAAGATTTTGAAGGAAAAAAAATACTTGTGCTATGGAAGTAAAGCATTCCAATAATGGAAATAGATCTTTGTCTGAATTTGAAAGTTGTTGCCACTTTGCAATTAATGGTGGCATCAGGATATCAAGATATTTTGGCTGCAAATCAATAAACATAAATTACTCGCCATGTTATGACTGCAGGCCCCTGTGAAAGGTCAGTTTTTTAAAATTAAAAAATAAAGGATAGCAATACCTGATTTAGCTCTCCTCCAACAGCATCAGCTAGAGTTCCAATAGCATCATAAACAATTCGGAGATTACGCCTCTGCTTTGAGAAAATTTGGATGTTAATAGGTGTGCGAGAGGAAAAAATTCAACATTAGATAGGCCAGTTCACAATCAACATGAAAGGCAATCTCTGTCTGAAAGAAACTTATATTTTTATCCATGAAGCATAGACACATTAGATGCAGAGAGATACAATTCAATATAGAATGGGGATTTCACAAGCTCTAGTAAAAGCAGAAAATAGATGCATTGAAAAATGCTCACACACTCAACTCATATACCCACACACCTATGAAAGCATAAATTACGTATATAAGGATTCAATCATGCTTGAAGATATGCAAACGCGCACAAAAGCATTTATATATTCATGCGCATGAAAATTATTTTACATCAACTGCCAACAAATAGTCAAAAGCATATAAGATAAAACAAATAGTAAATCCAATAAACATAACCAAAATAAACTACACTAATAAATTGATGACATTTAAAACATATTATTATGGTTTTGAAATGTTAAATAAAGCAACTTGTATCCAATCCAAATTATCAACTACCCTTTTATTTAACTGAAAACTATCCACAGAAAATGAATATCCTGAAATCCGTTGCCAGGCAATAAAATCCTTTTACAAGCATCTATCCATTAGGATATCTAAATGGTTTCACACAAACCTGATACTTGCCAAAGGCACATAAGAGGTGCTGTAAAATGACCTCCAATCGTGGTGCCAATTCTTCAGCAGCCTCCTATTAATTAAAACAATGGTTCAGATACAAACAGGAAAAAATTTACAAACAGCAATAATGTGACCTCTTCAAGAGTTGCAAAAGCTGAACATGCAGCCTCCTGCACTCGCTTATTAGAATCCAGTATTCTGTGAAGTAGACCCATGAGAACTTCATCGAATTGTTCATGACCTTTCTGTTGTTGAACAATGCCCTGCATAAGCAAAATAATGTTAATCCTGAAATCTTTATATTCCTTATTTAAATTTATAAACATTAAACCTTCTAACACAATTGCCCACAAATTTTTCCCCAGAAAAAAATTATAGATAATGCAATAAATTTAGGTCCAGCCTCCAATTGATCTCCTAATTACAAGAAGACGTGTAGCATAAACGGGATATTGCATAACTGAAACCTTCTAAAATTATAAAGTAGAAACTCCAACAACCAAACCTGATGTAAATGCCAAATGATAAAAAAAATCAGAAAATGGTGATCAAATGTGTTTTTAAGTGCCGGGTTGTTCAACCATCATGCTGAACACCGTGGTGATAAGAAAAAGATTGGCGTTTGGAGCTGTACAAAAATAAAAGAGAGTGACTGAACTTTTTTCCTCAAGGTACCAGGCAGTGCCACGGTGCCAAATGCTTGTACAGCAGAGCAAGAAACAAAACAAATCAAAATGAGAAGTATGTGAAATCCCAAATGATAAGAGGGCAAAAGCAACATAGCAACTGGTGAAAGACGCACACAGAAAACAAATAGAACCGTAGCAAATGATAGCAAGACAAAATACGATTATAAATCTAAGCTAAGTCTAAAAGCAAGAAAAAAATTGTAAAGAGTGATGGGTAAGATTGTTAGGGAAGTGAGAGGTTAATTGATGATCAGAAGCTATTTACTGCATATTATATCATAAGATCGATGAGATCACCTATGGCACCGAGATGCCAAAAATGCAACCAACACAAAGGAAGAAAGGGAGAACGTAGATGTGTAAACGGAACAACAACATAAGTACTGGGTATGTGTCGGCCGTTTTCGTTTTTTTTTAACTTCGTGGTTTGAAAAAGTGATGATTTTGTGATTTTGAAAATAATTTAAATATGAATATAACCTTTTTGATTTTTTAAATGTAATATTTTAATTTTAAAATAGGTGAGACCAAACGGGTCTCGCATTTAAATAGTTTAGATGATTGAATATAATACTACAGGTAATACACTTATCCCGAAGAATAAATATATCACTTGTAACAGGGATTCAATCACCCAGACTATAGAATTTGTGACATCCATATTAGTCTGCGAAATATTTTTATAAAAAGGCCAACAAGTTCCCCTACCTAACATAAAAAATTAAATAGGGTTTATTTTATCTGGGTTCCTGGTTCCCTATAGAGGCAAGCCCCTATAGTTAATTACATCTTAAATGATCGAAATCACTTAAGAAAACTCTCGATTAAGATCAGGTGGTTTTGTTTTCAAGATTTCAAAGTTTAGGTTTTCACGATTGGACATGAGAAAATCAAATGGGAATGACTCAAAATAGGAACAGTTATTTAAGGAATCCAAAAAGAAGAAAAGTAGGGGATATCACAGATCTGGGGAAAACCCCGGTGAACTCCCAACTATCCTAATGTTCGGTTTTATGTCTTTTGAAATAATTTAATTTGATATTTCAATTATGCAAATTACTTATGATTTAGGACTTATGTTTACACAATATCAGACTGTGCAAATAGCCTAAAAAGATAAGAGGATTTACACCGTACCGCACGGTAACCTCGGAATCCTAAAGCGTTAGGACTTATAATTGTAAAACAAAGTTGTACAAAAAGCCTAAGGAGTGATCCTATGGGTTGTTATTTAAACTAAAAAAGGTATATAGTATGATGTGAATGTGTTCATGTGATGTGAAGATGTTTTGTTGTTGTAGATCCACCTGGAAATCGTTCCTCGTAGCGCTGCCCACGATGTTCGCTCCAAACTCTTCGTAGTAGCACCTCCTGGTTTAGTTTTAGTTTTGAAAATGCTCCTAACCACTAGGTCATCCTAAACTAAGACATAGTGTATCAAAGTAACTAAGCATGCAGTGTGAAAGAAAAGTAACAATGCACTGTACAGTAAAGAGAAAAGACAATATAACATGCTGAAAGAAAAGCATAACGTGCTATAAAGAGTAGTATAACATGTTGGGGAAGCAGTATAACAGGCTATGAAAATAATATAACATGCTTTAAAATAAAATGTTGTAATATAAATTAAACCTGTACACCTGAGAGGTTCATTGCTCCTTTAAATTTAGCTATTATGCGCTGTGTAAAAGAGAAAAGTATGACCTAAAAAAGACTTAACAGAAACAGGTAAATCATAGGAAAAAGACAAACAAATAAAATAAAATACAACATCACATATAAAGGACCAAGAATAGGAAATTTATATGTGATATTGGAATGTCCCCAATTGCCAAGAGGATTTGAGTGTAGGAAAAACTCAAATTTCGGAGCATTGGGTTTCAGTTTTGGTCAAGTTAAGGTAAGAATTTCATTATTTGATTTAATTAAATCAGTCATGTGCTCCTAAGATCTAGGAAACCTACACTTTAGTTTAAACTTGAAGTGTCTTAAAGTGTCTAACCTCAACTAAGTGCCTTAAAACTAACCCTCAGACATCTTTAGGTTAAGCTTAACTCACCATCAGACTCCTAAAACCTAAGGGATAAACCTATAACTTTGGCAAAAAAGTTGTGAAGTGTGATTCAAATCTAATTAGGACAATTAAATGTAGGTTTATTCCAAACTTAAAGGACCTAAGTGCAGGTCTACTAATTTTTCCAATCAATGTCCTTAATTGTTATCTAAGCTCTTACTTTCTTCCAACTCCTAAATATTCTTCCAATTTACAGTTTTATCTTTCATATGCAAAAAGAAACGGTAGATGGTTCAATATTCTATCCCCTTTTAGGTTTTATCATCTCGAAGATCCAAATCTTATTTTTAAATTTTCTCTTCCTTTTTTCTTTCCCTTAAGGCTGTGAATCATTTCTGAATATAATTAAATCGGAAATTCTCATTTTTAACTTAACCGTTTAAAAAAAAAACAAAACAAAACGAACGAAAAGGAGACCGATCCATTTTTAAAACCAAGCTAAATCAATGAAGCTTAAAATAAAATTATGAATGTATCGGTCTAAAATTATTAAATTCGTCAAAAAAAAAAAGTAAAATAATCGGATCAATCCCAAGAAGGATATTCTTTCAAAGTGGCACTTTTATGGATTTCCAAACCCTTTTATAAATCAAGTTTGATATGAATCCCAAAATGAAGCTTCAAGAGCCTTGAATCAATTTAAGAAAGATATTATTTTCTCATTTTTTTATCAACGCGTGACATTTTCATGAATTTCCAAATCTCTTCATAAATCAAATTTACATCAACCCTATATTTTCTCCAAATGAAATTGTACAACCCTTTTATATTTCATAAAAGAAGAAACACTAATTAATGGAAGAAGTAATTCCCTAGCCTTCTAGAAAAACATACATATGTCAAAAATAATTTAATCACATCCTTCATCAAAAGTTTATAATGAGATACAAATCCAACATGGTGAAAACAGAGAAATATTTTTAGCATTTATCCAGCTCCAAAGAGTTAAAATCGAGTCTCAACAAGTGGGAAAACACGTAGTAATAATAGGGAATGAACATAGCGCCTCAAATCAACATCCCATCTATCATGCGTTTCAGATTTTCGCAAATAGGCCAACCAATGCTCTCAGATTTTTGCAAAGATAACACTCATATGCTTCAGATTTTGCTAACAAGCCCCGCAAATATTTTAGATTTTTGCAAATACAACAATCAAAGGTTTCAGGTTTTGCAAATACGTCACCAAAAAGTTTCAGATTTTTGCAAATATAACACTTGAATGCTTCAGGTTTTGCAAATATAACACCACAAATGCTTCAGGTTTTGCAAATACGCCACCAAAAAGTTTCAGATTTTTGCAAATATAACAACCAATGTTCTCAGATTAATGGTTCCACAAGAGCACCCTGCCATACTCCTTTTGGAAATAAATAAAACAAGTGTAAAAAAATATAAACTTAACCGGCTGTCAACAGATGGAATCGAGAGATTTCAGATACTATGCAGCGGGCATCGGGTTGAATTGCAGCCAAGG